ATGCACTGTAACCCAAATAATTCCCCATTGTGGAGAAAGCGGCAGCTATAGGCAAGTTCATGCAGGGCATGAGTAGCTTGGGAAAATGACAAATTTCACGGCCACACAATCACGGAGTCCATGGAACGTTAAGTGAGATGACGGGGGCAGTTCACACCTCTGAACTATTCTTTGAGGCTCTTGGCAGACTCAGACAGCCATTGGTTTACACTCAGGTCACATTGTCAAAAGTTATCTTTGCAACTGTAAGGTCACAAAACTTTTAATTGAAAGCAGAGATAATGGATCTCAATGTTCAGCAACAGGTGAATTCTGCGGAAAATTTCTTGATTGCAGAATCATGGAATATACAGAGGCCTGGATAGAATAAGCAACATACCCTGTCCCAAAGAGCATACAAAAAAGCATACGGAGATGACAAATGAGAAGGAAAGAAAAGAGGGAACAGTCCATAGTATTGACTTTATAAACCAAAGCTACAGCCGTGAACACAATTTCCCACTCCCCCAAGTTAGACTGACACTTCTTGCAGAAGAGTCATTCTGCTGTTTTGTTCCATCTAGTCCTGATCTACTGCAGATATCACATATACTTTAGGTATCCATTCTTCCATAGGATCGGAGATGTTCTGGTAGTACTTTCACTTATGTGGTTCCATCTATTCGGCTACCTTCATTTTACAATCATCTGGCAACTTGAACATGGAGGCCGTCTCCTCCATTGAATATCTTCCCTATAGTTCTCAGTTTTATACGGTATAACTGATTTGCTGTTTTTTCTTAGATAGCTATTGTCATTTATTTCAACAGGCACAGCGTGCACTTGGCTTCACAGTAGCTAACACATACATTTAACTTTGCAGGTTCTGGAACAGTTTTTATTCTCAATATGCTTTTATTTGATCAGCATTTCAGTGGGATCTTAGGTGATCCAAAAAATATCAGTACCAAAAGATAAGAAACTTAGATTTGAGTCATCTATTCATCAGCAATAGGAAGCCATCGCCTCCAATAAGAATGTTTATACATGCTAAGGTATTGAAATACTGATTCTTGTGTCCATTACTTTATGTAATAGATTTTAGTGCCTGAAGGGACCATTACAATACTGTAACCTGACCTCCTGCATAAAACAGACCATAGAATTTCACCCTGTAACTCCTGCATCAAGCCCACAAGTTCTGGTTGAGCTAGAGCATATCTTTTCAGAAAGGAATCCAAAACTCCAGGTGATGGCGAACTCACCCCATCCCTTGATAAAGTGTTCCAGTGGTACCCTCAAATATTTGAGCTTAATTTCCAGTCCGCATTGGTATAGCTTCAGCTTCTAGCCAATGGATCTTGTTAAACCTTTCCTAAATTAAAGAGTCTTCTACTATCAGAAATCTTCTCCCCACGTACATATAGACTGATCAAGTCACGTTTTATTCTTTGGTAAACTACACAGATTTAAGAAACTCACTGTAAGGCGAAGTGGGTGAGGTAATAAGCTTTTATTGGACCAATTTCTGTTGGCAGGTTTTTCAGACCATGAATCTTTTTTGTAGCTCTATGAACCATTTCCAATTTTTCAACATCCTTTTGGAAGCCCTGACAACGGAACTGGACACAGTGTTCTATTAATGGCCTCACCAATGCTGAAGACAGAAATACCACCACCTCCCTACTCCTATTTGATATTCCCATTTACACCTCCAAGGACCTCACTAACTCTCTTCACCGAAGCACTGCACTGGGAGCGACTGTGCAGCTGGTTATCCAACCATGACCCCCAATTCCTTTTCAGAATTACTGTTTAAGACACAGTTCCACAGCATGTGGGGCCTACATTCTTTTCCCCTAGATGTCTTCTCTCAGACTCAACACCCAGTACTAGCTTCCCCCTCAAACCATCAGTTTGTGGGTTTCTTAGTACTATAGCAGCCTTTGAATTCACTCATGCAAATCTTTGCCACTGCTCACTCATGAATTGTAGCCCACATGTCCAACCTCATCTTTTCTAATATATCATGTCTTGAAAGGATTTTATGTGACTGAGGACAGTATGAGCTTTTGGCACCCTGGACTTATTTCAAAATCTCTTGAGTAATAGCCTACGATGAGTAAATACTCCCATTCAATGTAAATAACGTTTGTTTGTAGAATTTGCCATGGTTGATGAAAGGCAGTAGTATTGGACTATTTAAATTAAATAAGAACTCCAGTGTTTAGACAGCCAAAGTTCCCTTCCCAGACACAGGACTTAGCTATTTTTATTACTATCTCAAAGAAAAAGTTACTTGTGTGTGCAACCCCAGTACCTGGACGATCCACAATGGATTTACAATTTTTGATCAGACAGAGATACTGGCACTTCTCATGACTCGACAGAATAAAATCCTGGTTCATATGACCAACAAGGAGCCTACTTTCTCTCCTCTCAGTCACTTCCAACAGAAAAGCTGATGAAGTAAACAGTCCACCCTGAAACAGAATTTTGCTTTTAAAAACGCATCTCAGCTGAAAGCAAGGTTTGTTTTTGTAAACACATACAGCTAGCAATTCCAGAGGTTTGGAAAAAGGTCATGACGGAGCACAACATGTCATGGAGAAGTATTAGGAACAGGGTTTTTTAATTTAAATCTGAGTATTTACATGTTGCTAGTTCTTTACTTTCTTCTTATTTTATAGACAAATTGCTAGAGTGGATGTTTTGTACTTGTTTCTTTAGTATCCTGTAAGAATTTCAATTTTTTTCTGTTAAGAGATTACACACTTAAAAACGCCCATCTATGCTGAACGAGGTAAACCCAGAGTCATTAACATTGTTACTGTGAGAACACCAGAAACTCAAACAAAACTGATAAGCAAATAGCCTGGGCTACACATTTGCAACCAACAAAATTCTCCGACATATTAAACTTCCACAAGTCAGGAAAGCCGAAATGCTTGTTGACTATACCCCAAAGGGTTTGCAGTACAACCTCAACATGACTTGTGCTTCTGTGTCACTTAACTGCTTTAATTTAAGACTCCTAGGGTTTTTTAAAGTTTTGGCCTGAGGGTATACTGAGAGAGTATGCTGGACGTCTAGTTTTTCATTGTTAATGAGGCAACTGTGTTCTGAACTGACAAAGATTTCATGCCATTAAGAGACATTTTTAATAAAATACAGGTTTAGTCCTTAATGCGTCAAACACTTTTGAACATGCTAAAGTCAAGCATATGACTAGTCCCACTGAAGTCAATGGGACTATTTATGTGAATTAAATTACGTATCTGCTTAACTGTTTGAAGGATCAGTGCCTGAATTTTCATTATTTTGGCCTATAGCAGTTTGCTAACTTTCACATAAGAGAACTTACCAGAAGTGTCATTTCAAAACAAAACAAAACCCACAGCATTTATAACTTAGTTTATAATAAACTTTAGATTAGAGTTGCTATAGCACAAGTTTCCAAATTAGTTTTACGATACCTCAAGCTGATTCAAATCTAGGATTTTAAAAATGCATGCTGAAGCATTCTGCTTTTTATCGTAGGTGCCATTAAAGCAGTTAAGAGACGTATGAGGGGCTCACAATCCCCTTCCTGCAGAAATGAACTGGAGTTTTATCACTGACTTCAGTGAAAGATGGATCTGACCCAAGGTTTCTATTGGCATTTTCAGTAAATAAAGTAACTGATGCCAGAAAGCAGTTTTTATGGCTTCTTTTGTACTCTTGATAACTCAAGTGCTTTATAATGAATCAACTATGGGAAAACCACAATAAACTCAATTCTCAAATCAGCTTCTGGAGATCAAATAAATTTGCTAGCTAGATAGTTAAAGCCTAACAATCTTTAGATTTTTGAATGCAACAGTCCTAAATCTTCTGGCTGATTTTAACTCTGGATGGATAATGTACACGATACTCAAGTTACTATGTATAGACATAGGATGAAAACCTATGGCCAAAACGGAGTACAAGTTAAATAGTACTGCCTAGCGTTCCAGGAGAGAAGACAAGTTGTGATGGAAAGAGGGCACACAAAGGGTTGAACTGCTCTGCAATCCAGTCTCCTTCTAGATGACTATGTCCTCTGTAACTCTTGTCCCACCCTACAGCAGCTGCTCATAATAATCAGCATCTGACAGTGTAGAGGAAGCCCATAATGTGTCGCCCAGGGGCAGTTCAACAGATGGCAGAGTGACATACAACCAGAATCATTAATTAAACTGCCATATTAGTCCCACGACATGGTGCTTAAAACACTTCCTCAGTGAAAGAAGAACATTTCAGATAAATGACCGTCTGCTGTTCCCCATGTACTCGCTCTAGGGCTTCTGGTCATTATTGAGTTCCAGTCAGAACAGTCTTATTTTTACAGCAGTTTCTTGCCCTCCAAGTTCAAGCTGGCTACAGCATGAAGTCTGAGTTGTCATCTTTCTACATCACCACTACCTGTTCCTTCATATAAGCACTGCACGTAAAGGCAGTTAAGAGCACCACCAGTTTTTGGTTAAGCGGGGTTGGCAGTACTAAAAAACGCATTTGACAAGTGTTCTCAGCAAACACGACCTTCAAGCCAGACAGACAAGCAGCAACCAACTATATACAAAATATACAAAAAGCATCAGTTACTTGCAGGAAGGGGTAACATGGACACTTGATTTCTTCTTGAGATAGGGATTTCATTCAAGAGCAAACCCTGAAATGAACCAGGACTAAACATCAAAAATGTTGGATGATAAATCTATTTTTTGAGAGAGATTGTTTTAAGTTCTAGAGCTTCCTTCTCCATCTACTGTTGTGCTGGACATCTGAGTTCAGCAGTTCAGTTTTTAAATTTATTTATTTACAGGAAAAAAAAAAATCCTCAGGCCTGTTTTCTTCCAACAGCAAAGTGCTCCAGGGAGAACTAAATTGCTACATTACCTCACATCATTCTCATTTAAAAGAAAAAAATGTTTAAGTTTGAAGGCAAGTATGTGTGTTTGGTAGGAGGATAAGGTTTCAGCATTGTTCTGAGCAGTACTCACTTCTAACTTTTTCTCTTTCTCGGTCAATACATCCTTCTGGTTCTGGGTGTACTCAATCAGCATGCGTGCCAGCTGGCGTCGGTCTTCCAACTCTGCTGCCAGCCGCCCATTATACTCCGCTAGTAACAAACATGCTTCATCCACCGTTTTCGAAAGACGTTCTGCTGCCTCTTTGTCTACATGCAAAGGTGGTAAAAAAAATGTACATGGACTCAGTTAAAAACTTTTTATGCTTTGAAAAAAAAAAGGCTCTAATCCAACAACCACATAGATTCATAGATTCATAGATTCTAGGACTGGAAGGGACCTCGAGAGGTCATCGAGTCCAGTCCCCTGCCCGCATGGCAGGACCAAATACTGTCTAGACCATCCCTGATAGACATTTATCTAACCTACTCTTAAATATCTCCAGAGATGGAGATTCCACAACCTCCCTAGGCAATTTATTCCAGTGTTTAAACACCCTGACAGTTAGGAACTTTTTCCTAATGTCCAACCTAGACCTCCCTTGCTGCAGTTTAAGCCCATTGCTTCTTGTTCTATCCTCAGAGGCTAAGGTGAACAAGTTTTCTCCCTCCTCCTTATGACACCCTTTTAGATACCTGAAAACTGCTATCATGTCCCCTCTCAGTCTTCTCTTTTCCAAACTAAACAAACCCAATTCTTTCAGCCTTGCTTCATAGGTCATGTTCTCAAGACCTTTAATCATTCTTGTTGCTCTTCTCTGGACCCTTTCCAATTTCTCCACATCTTTCTTGAAATGCGGTGCCCAGAACTGGACACAATACTCCAGCTGAGGCCTAACCAGAGCAGAGTAGAGCGGAAGAATGACTTCTCGTGTCTTGCTCACAACACACCTGTTAATACATCCCAGAATCACGTTTGCTTTTTTTGCAACAGCATCACACTGTTGACTCATATTTAGCTTGTGGTCCACTATAACCCCTAGATCCCTTTCTGCCGTACTCCTTCCTAGACAGTCTCTTCCCATTCTGTATGTGTGAAACTGATTTTTTCTTCCTAAGTGGAGCACTTTGCATTTGTCTTTGTTAAACTTCATCCTGTTTAACTCAGACCATTTCTCCAATTTGTCCAGATCATTTTGAATTATGACCCTGTCCTCCAAAGCAGTTGCAATCCCTCCCAGTTTGGTATCATCCGCAAACTTAATAATCGTACTTTCTATACCAATATCTAAGTCGTTAATGAAGATATTGAACAGAGCCGGTCCCAAAACAGACCCCTGCGGAACCCCACTCGTTATGCCTTTCCAGCAGGATTGGGAACCATTAATAACAACTCTCTGAGTACGGTTATCCAGCCAGTTATGCACCCACCTTATAGTAGCCCCATCTAAATTGTATTTGCCTAGTTTGTCGATAAGAATATCATGCGAGACCGTATCAAATGCCTTACTAAAGTCTAGGTATACCACATCCACAGCTTCTCCCTTATCCACAAGACTCGTTATCCTATCGAAGAAAGCTATCAGATTGGTTTGACATGATTTGTTCTTTACAAATCCATGCTGGCTGTTCCCTATCACCTTACCACCTTCCAAGTGTTTGCAGATGATTTCCTTAATTACTTGCTCCATTATCTTCCCTGGCACAGAAGTTAAACTAACTGGTCTGTAGTTTCCTGGGTTGTTTTTATTTCCCTTTTTATAGATGGGCACTATATTTGCCCTTTTCCAGTCTTCTGGAATCTCTCCCGTCTCCCATGATTTTCCAAAGATAATAGCTAGAGGCTCAGATACCTCCTCTAGTAGCTCCTTGAGTATTCTAGGATGCATTTCATCAGGCCCTGGTGACTTGCAGGCATCTAACTTTTCTAAGTGATTTTTAACTTGTTCTTTTTTTATTTTATCTGCTAAACCTACCCCCTTCCCATTAGCATTCACTAGGTTAGACATTCCTTCAGACTTCTCGGTGAAGACCGAAACAAAGAAGTCATTAAGCATGCACAGTAACATTTTATTCACAAGAGTTATCCAGGGTTTATAAGAAAATGAGTTGTAATCAAGAGATTTAAGGGGCACTCAAAAATTGCTAGGACTCTAACAACCTGAAAACGGAAGAAGATTTAAAAACAGAACCAGTTGGTCATTTTTAGTCTTGCAGATCTAACAGTGAGGTCTGATCTATACTTAAAAACTAGCTCAACCTAGCTACATCACTCAGGGCTGCGAAATAATTCATACCCTGAATGCCACAGTTAGGTTGACCTAACCCCCAGTGTAGATGCAGCTAGGTTGAGAGAAGATTTTTTTCTATCAACTACACTACTGCCCCCTGGAGAGGAGGATTAACTACACTGATGGGGAAAACCTCTTCCGTTGCTGAAGCAAGAGTCTACACTACAGAGACATACTGGTACAGCTGCAGCGCCAGAGCTGTGCCACTGTTGCAATTGTGCTAACACTCCCTTAGAAGTTGTTTTTGTGGATCTTTTATGCGCTGTTAATTATACCAGAATATTAGCTTACATTAACAGAACGTCTTCTGTCACATCATGGGGCCCTAGCATTTATGCAAGATGTGCACTGTATGATGGATCTTATGCCTGTGAATATTTATCAACACACAGAACACAAGCTTGCACATAAATACGCACTTGTCCTTCTCACAGCTGGACATGAGCAGCACACACTACAAAGAGTTGAATAAGTGGTAGCCCTAATAGAATTCTAAAATTAAAAAAGTTAGGAATACTTGCAAAAACAGAATTGATTTTGACTCTTATTTGCATGTGCTCCCAGGTTCTTAAACAAACATTTTTCAAACATGGATGCATAAATTTATATGCACCCAAATATAATTGGTCAGCACATCTGAGCACCCACTTCCTATTGCAGACAAAAGGAACTGCAGGTACTCAGCTCTGGGGGGGCGGGGGAGGAGAAGAGAAATCAGGCCACTTAATATACATAAATATATATTTAATGCTTAACTTTCAGCACCTGAGTTTGAAAATTCTGGCTCTAGTTTCTTTTCAGAACTAGAGAATGAAGCTGTCAAAAGTTGGTTGAGGAAAGGACAGTGAATACAGGCTCTCCAAGTATAAAAATCCTTGTAAACACATTTTGGTTTTGGCCCAAGGAATGTAAGGAGAGATGTAAATCTTGCCTCCAACCACATGCCAGAAGATTTATACCTGCTAACTGTTCGGGAGCTATAAAGCTGGCATGCATAAAGGGCATGAGGTGCATCCATCCCACTCATTATAGTTACTTGAAAGTCAAATCCCTCTACGTTCATTTTCATTTATCTTCTAGCTTCTTACCTGTAATTTTCTCCAGCAGTGACACATCTTGAACTTCCTGTGGCAGTGAGGCAATTTTCTGCCGCACTGTGGCATCTCCTGATGCTGCATTTTCCAGGTCCTGCAGGGCTTTGATCAAGTCCTCAGTCTGCAGAATGGAAAGACAAAAAACAGACAGTTTTCAAATGGAGTAGCAGGTAACTGCAGCACTGCCAAGTTCTAAACAGGACTACTGCTAAGCCATTTTCTCTAGCTATTGTCATTGCACCACAGGCTGAGATCACTTACCTTTTAAAGTGCTTTTTAGTGTCCTACTTTCTCCTTACACTCAGTACTGCAGCAAGTACCTGTACATAGTATCCACTAAACTCTAAAATAGCCCAAAACTATGGACTCTTGCATAAGTACAATACACTTATCTTAACAGGGACATTGCAGTGGACATTCATCCCAATTAAGAGAAGAGGACATTTAAAAATAAGGCCGAAAAGATGAAGGACAATACTATGCAGATTAGAGAAATAAAAATATTCCTTACATTTCATTTCTGCATCTGGTCTATTTCTTTTCATCTCAATATTTTGCCTGTGAGGATTGTTTTTATTTTGCCTTGACCAAGAGGCAAATTTACATGCAAATTTATTCAACTGCATACATGTACCTTGGGATAATGTGGAGAGGGCACATTTTAAAAATCCAAAAGATTAAATAAACCAGACTTTCTGAATAACACCTCGTTAAGCTGGGAGGAGTGGTAGATACGCTGGAGTGGTAGGGATAGGATACAGAGGGACCTAGACAAATTAGAGGATTGGGCCAAAAGAAACCTGATGAGGCTCAACAAGGACAAGTGCAGAGTCCTGCACTTAGGATGGAAGAATCCCATGCACTGCTACAGACTAGGGACCGAGTGGCTAGGCAGCAGTTCTGCAGAAAAGGACCTAGGGGTTACAGTGGACGAAAAGCTGGATATGAGCCAACAGCATGCCCTTGTTGCCAAAAAGGCTAATGGCATTTTGGGCTGTATAAGTAGGAGCATTAGCACCTGATCGAGGGACGTGATCATTCCCCTCTATTCGGGACTGGTGAGGCCTCATCTGGAGTACTGTGTCCAGTTTTGGGCCCCACACTACAGGAAGGATGTGGAAAAATTGGAAAGAGTCCAGCGGTGGGCAACAAATATGATTGGGGGCTGGAGAACATGACTTACGAGGAGAGGCTGAGGGAAACTGGGATTATTTAGTCTGCAGAAGAGAAGAATGAGAGGGGATTTAATAGCTGCTTTCAACTACCTGAAAGGGGGTTCCAAAGAGGATGGATCTGGACTGTTCTTGGTGGTAACAGATGACAGAACAAGGAGCAATGGTCTCAAGTTGCAGTGGGGGAGGTTTAGGTTGGATATTAGGAAACACTATTTCACTAGGAGTGTGGTGAAGCACTGGAATGGGTTACCGAGGGAGGTGGTGGAATCTCCTTCCTTAGAGATTTTTAAGGTCAGGCTTGACAAAGCCCTGGCTGGGATGATTTAGTTGGGAATTGGTCCTGCTTTGAGCAGGGGGTTGGACTATATGACCTCCCGTGGTTCCTTCCAACCATGATATTCTAGGATTCTAAGCACCGCATACTCACTTGGCACCAGCTAAAAATCATCCTTTTTAAAGCAGACTTTAAAGCCATTGCCATTCCTTCACTAGCTCAACTGATTCTTTGGGAATATAATTGCAATATAATTGACTGATATTGTACTCCATTAATCCCATTCTGCCCGTTTTATTTAGTTCTTTGCAATAAAAGTGGGAGACTGGGCAACAAAATGGCAGATGAAATTCAATGTTGATAAATGTAAAGTAATGCACATTGGAAAACATAATCCCAACTATACATATAAAATGATGGTCTAAATTAGCTGTTACCACTCAAGAAAGATCTTGGAGTCATTGTGGATAGTTCTCTGAAAACATCCACTCAATGGGCAGCGGCAGTCAAAAAAAGCAAACAGAATGTTGACAATCATTAAGAAAGGGATAGATAACAGAAAATATCATATTGCTTCTATATAAATCCATGGTATGCCCACATCTTGAATACTGCGTCCAGCTGTGGTCGCCCCATCTCAAAAAAGAGATATTGGACTTGGAAAAGGCTCAGAAAAGAGCAACAAAAATGATTAGGGATATGGAACAGCTTCTGTATGAGGAGAGATTAATAAAGACTGGGACTGTTCAGCTTGGAAAAGAGACAACTCAGGGGAATATGATAGAGATCTATAAAATCATGACTGAGGTGGAGAAAGTAAGTAAGGAAGTGTTATTTACTCCTCCTCATAACACAAGAACTAGGGGTCACCAAATGAAATTAATAGACAGCAGGTTTAAAACAAACAAAAGGAAGCATTTCTTCACACACACAGTCAACCTGTGGAACTCTTTGCCAGAGGATGTTGTGAAGGCCAAGATGATAACAGGGTTCAAAAGAGAACTAGATAAGTTCCTGGAGGATAGGTCCATCAATGGCTATTAGCCAGGATGGGCAGGGATGGTGTCCCTAGCCTCTGTTTGCCAGAAGCTAGGAATGGACGACAGGGGATGGATCACTTGGTGATTACCTGTTCCGTTCATTCCCTCTGGGGCACCCAGCATTGGCCACGGTTGGCAGACAGGATACTGGGCTAGATAGACCTTTGGTCTGACCCAGTATGGCCATTCTGATGTTAACAATCAGCAAATGGAATGGCCACTGAGAAAGATTCACCAGTGCAACTGAACAAACCCACATTGCTTTTACTAACCTAGTCAAAAGGAGAATCTGGGTGATGGGAGTATTAACAGGAGCCCAAAGAAAGGGAAAAGGGGAGAGAGACATTAAGCAGGAAAACCACAAATGTTCAGTTTTATTTTATTTTAAAAAGCATTCAAGGATTTGATGATTTTGCTGGCATTAGCTAGGCTAAATTTGTAGTGCTGATTTTTATCCTCCAGTTTCAGTAATTAATTTTTTAGGTACACATTCAAAACGTTCATTACAAAAATACAGAAATTTCTTAAGAACACACACCTTTTCAATGTTTATGCTGGCTTGAAGAACCAAAGGATGTTCACTGTCTGCTTGACATACATACTTCCTTGTAAGCTACATAATGATTTCCAATAAGTGACAAATTAAACGCGTGTTAAAACAAGCCAAAAGCTGTAAGCTATCTGCAGTAAAAGCTCTCATTTCCTCGGCTCATGTAATTTTGTAGTATTTACACCACACATCTGGCAGACTGTTTAACTCTTCACCTTCCTTCAAATAGCCACAGATTTAACATAAGGCCAATTGTAGCCTTAAAGAGGAGAGTTTTGATTATACTGTTTATTTCATTTCTGTTATCTCCGGGTCATTAACACCACACTCCAACCAGTCCCAAACTAAGGTTCAAATGTTCTCAACTGACTTTAGTTTCCAACTCCATACAAATCCATTTAATGCTGATCTTTTGCAGCTACAGGGTATACAAAACTTGCTGTTGGTCTTTTTGTCAGGCTGTATTCTACCTGAAACCCAAATGAAATTTCTTGAGTCAATGTTCGTGCACTGGATTTGAGAGTTCATGAGTCAATATATCTTTTGTTTTTGTTTCAAAGTTAAAAACACAACACACCGGCAGTAATGCAGGGGCCTTGGTTCAGCCTAGATTAAATCAGACCTACCCAGGTTTTTATTGTTAAGGAGAACTTTTGGAATAGCATTCACAACAGAATGCATCTATGATCCCTTCCTCTTGCCCACCACAAAACAGACAACCCAGTGGTTTAATAAAACTGTTGTTACACATTGGCTTCCAAGCGTAAATTGTATTTCTCCATTAATTACATTTTACTTGTTAATGGCTCCACCTTGTGGCTGTATCTTTATAAGAGGTCACCTTTCACAATTTCTCAGATCCTCAGCCCTCCAAACATACCAGTAATGGCCCAGTGCTGGGGTCCTGGGGCGAGTAGCTCCCAGGGTAATCCTCATCTTCTTCCTCTTGTATCTGCTGAAATGTCCGCTTCAAGGACTTTTTCTCCTCTGTAACTGCAGACACACACAGTCTCAATATAAGCCATTCAAGTCTGATGCCTTATGTGCATTCTTCAACAGAATCTTAACTATCTACATTTTCAAAAGTTGTACCAGATGCTTTCATGATCTCTACAGAGGGTCAATCTACAATTTAATTTTCTTTACAGAAGGCTAATTTATGTATCACTTTCAGAATGATCAGCAGCATAAGGGCAAAAGAACCATCATTTACAGTAACTGGAGTTCTTGGAGATTGTAGTGAGATCTATGTGAACAAAAGCAGATGTACGCACAAGCCGGGAATATTCTGGATAGCAGTGTCCCTTGGGGCTATGCATTCACCTGTATGCTCTTATGCCCCCTATAAAGGACAAAGCACCCCAACCATCACTTAATTTCGTCACTAATACAGAATATCCAGGCAAGCAAAGCAGGTCACAGGATCTGTGTGGACAAAAGCATCTCAGCGAATTCCAGTTACTGAAAGTTAAGTAACCTCTTTCTTCAAGCATTTGTCTACGCAGATCCCGCTGTAGATGAGTGACTAGCAGTTACCCCTCAAGGTGGGCAGTAGAAGTGCTATCTAAATAATGACAGCAGGAAAGCCTTTCCAACTGCGAATCTGAGCTAGAAGCTTCACAATGGAGTAGTAATAGATAAACATATGTACCGAAGTCCACATAGTTGCCCTACAAGTCTCAAATAGGAGGGTCACCTAAAACAAGCTATTGATGTTGACTGAGCCTAGCAGAGTGTGCCCTAAGTCGAGAAGGAAGAAGTAGTTTATTTAATAGAGGAGGAAATCTTACAGCAGTCTGTAACCCATTTAGAGATCTTTAAGAGAAACAGCCTGCCCTTGAGACTTATCACAAAAGCACAAAGAGCCTGGATGCTTTATGAAATGGCTTTGTACTGGAAAGATAAAGAGAATAGCCCTAAGAATGTCTAACTTGTGGAGTTTAGCCTCAGCAGAAGAATCATGTGGTTTAGGGAAAATGTGTAAATTGGTTTATATGAAAATCCAAAACCACTTTCCAAAAAAATGTTGGATATGGCCTGAGTCACTGTCTTTATGAAAAGGAACTAATGGAGGACTTGACATCAAAGTCTGAAATATCACTCACCCTCTAAGCCAAGCTGATGCCATTTTAACAGAGAGGGGATATAGTAAATATTACAACCTGGGTTCAAAGGGCGGGTACATCAAAGATAGGAGCACCACATTCAAGTCCCAGACAGGTAACTATGCCTCACTGATGGAAATGTATGAATTGGGCCATCTTAAAAAAAAAAAAAAAAAAAAACAAAACCACACACAATCAATCCAGATACCACTCGTGGTGGGGGGTGGAATAACCCTCAACAGATAGAGGGCTATATTAGCCAGATGAACTCTATTAGAACTAAGCAATCATGTGTTTCAAACACAATTAGTCCAAGATAGATGGAGTAGAAGATTCCACAGGCTGAAGAGGTCTCTGAATGGGACCGCAGTGAGAAATGTTTCCACTTAACTTGGCATGTACTTCTAATAGAGGCCCTTCTGCTATGGATCCAAACCTCCCATACAGCTGCTAAGCAGCTTCTGTCCACAGAAATTTGGCCAGGTAGTCTGTCAAATGCATGGGTGCAGCATCAGGCCTTGGTTCTGATAAACAACATGGAGGAGTTTTGGGAAGTTGAAGAGGTGGCCTGATTGACCTGATACATCGATCAGAATACTAGAACTGACATGTCCTTCTGAGGACTGAGAATTAGCATGGGAAGAAGGCATAAGCAAGTTATTTTCCCACTGAACCAGAAATACATCTGCCATAGATGCTGGTCTTATGTCTCATCAGCACAACACTGGACATTTCGTGTTCACGTTGGTAGCAAACAGGTCTATTGAGCAACTCCCCACTTTAGGAATATTTTGTCTAGAACAGAGTCTTTTAACTCCCATTTATGAGTGAAGGAACTCTTCTGCTTAGCTGATCTTCCACGGGGCCACTAGGTTAATCTGATGCAGAATGCACCAATCCCACGGATGTGTTGCTTCCTGACATAAGGGGGATAATCTCACTCTCCCCCTTGTCTGTTTATATAGTTCATAGCCAGGATATAATCCATCTGGATTTGAGCAGCAGTACCTTGAAGGAGAAGCAGGAACACCTTGCAAGCCAGCTGAAGGGCCATGTGCTCGAATACATTTATGTATAATTGAGACTCTGTACAGGACCATGTGCCCTGTATCTGGAGAGAGAGTCCAAATGTGCACTCCAGCCTTGATTGGATGCATTTTTCAGAGTCTTTGAAGGAGATGGTGAATGAAACAGAGTAGCCAGATAGACGTTTTGAGGGTCTGTCCACCAAAGTAGGTATGACAGCATTACAGAGGAACTTTTAGAGGGAAGTTCGTACCATGTTTGGCTGGTGGATAAACATCCTTAACCAACCCCAAAGGAGGCCAGAGACAACCATGATAGTCACATAAGTATAAACTACCATATAACCCAGAAAATTGAGTCAGACGGTCAGTGTGGTTCCTGGATGAGACTGAATGCATGACCTGAGGCAATTCTTTATGGAAAAATCTTTGAAGGAAAAATCCTGCCAAGTGGAAGTGGAGCACAGCCCCTATAAATTCTATGGATGAGTAGGGGTGAGAGGAGACGGGTCTGAATTGACCCTGAGGCCCAGTCTGGAAAACGACTGTAGAACTGTGAAAACATCTTTGCAGCAGATCAGCAATGAGGGGACTCAAATCAGCCAATCGTCAAGATAGGAATATATATGGAGGACTTCTCCCCCCGGCTGCACTGCTCCCACAGCCAAGCATTTGGTAAACACCCTTAGAGCTGCTGAAGGGCTGAATAGTAGGACTCTGAACTGGTAGTGGAGTCCACTGACCATGAAACACATACTTTTGAGCAGGATAGATTTACGCACAGAAGTGAGTATCCTGCTAGTAGAGTTGCAAATCAATTCATGGGCTGCCAGGAAAAAAAATAATAATAAAAATAAAACTTTAGAGGAAAGGGTGATCATCTGAAACTTGACGAGAGATGAATTTGCTGAGACACCTGTGATCTAAAACTGGATGCCATCCATTCTTCTCTTTTCTTTGGGGTGAGTGAGTAGTGGGAATAGAACTCCCTGCTGCAGAACTCTGGAGGCACCTTCTCTACAGCCCCCAGCTAAAGAAGAGAGTATCTCCAAACTCAGCAGGATGTTGTGAGAAAAGTCCTTGAAAGGGGGAGGGGATAAGGAGTTGGCAGAGACTAAAAGTGGACTGAATATATGCCTTCTAGAGAACTCCTAATACCTACTAGCGGGTAGCAATTTCAGCCAATGCATCCCCACACAAAAAGAAAGGTGATATACAAAGGGAACAGAGAGGGTAAAGAGCCTCTAAAATTTGTCCAGGATTTTTGATTAAAGTATCAAACCTGCAACCTCTTCCCAATGAAGAGTACACGATCTATTATTTGTATTACTGTAATTTCTAGGATCCCTAGTTATGGACCAGAACCCCACAGTGCCAGCTGCTGAACAACAGTGAAAAAAGACCTAAAGAGCTTACAATCTATGCATAAGACAGACAACAAATGGCTACAGACAGACCGACAGGGGAGTACAAGGAAACAACGAGAGAAATGTTGGTCAACGTAACAGGCAGTAGTATCAGCACACCAGCAGCCCTGTTCTATTTTTTTGTAGGCATCATGGAAAAGAGATAAGGAGGGATTTCTAAAGAGGAAAATGAGTTGGCTTTGTAGGGGGACTAGGTGAGTGAGGTAAATCTTTTATTGGACTAACTTCAGTTGGAGAGAGAGAGAGAGAGAGAGAGAGAGAGAGAGAGAGACACGCTTTCGAGCTACAGTTAGTTTACCAGGGGCAAGGGGCCTTTCAAGCTTAAAGGACAGCATGGGAGAAAATGTGAAGATACTTGTTTGACAATTTGAGAAGTGGGCAATAGAGGCGGACAGCATGGGCTGATTGGAGGCGGAAGTCAACCTTTCTATACTGAATGAGAGATGACAGGTACAGTGGGGATAGGCCATGAAACTGGACACAAGTAGAGGGCTGACATGGTTAAAGCCACAGGCTAGGAAAATGATCTTTACACAGCAGCATTCTAAATGGAGATGAATGTAGTAAGAATGCCTATGCCAAGGCCAGAGAGAAGATGCTGAGTGCCAGAATGCGAGTTTAAGCTGTGTGGACAGAGAGGAGAGGTATTATCTTAGAAGTGTTCTGTAGAATGAATCTGCAAGACTTAGACGTAGCCTGGATGCGAGGATCTAGAAAGATTTGAGCCAAAGATGATGCCCACATTACAGGCCTGAGTGATGGTGTAGAAGGAGAAGAGAAGGGGATCCAAGGACGGAGCCCTGTAGAACTCCCATAGAAATCTGAGGAAAATTCTGAGAAACAGACTCTGAAAGAGCTATTAGAGAGGTAGGAGGAGCGTCAAGAGAAAGAGTCCCAGGAGCAAAGGGAGGATAATATTTCAAAGAAAAGCATCATCAGCTGTGTTAAAGGTGTCAAGGAGGATGAAGGAGTAACACTAATTCTGAAATTTGGCTAAGAAGAGACCATTAAACACTCTGGCGAGAGCAGCGTCAGTTGAGTGCAAGGAACAGATGCCAGATTGGAGAGGATCTAGAATGGAACTGGAGAAGAACTCCAGACACCTATGTAAATAGTACGCTCAATGATCTTAGAGATGAAAGGGAAATGGGTGATGGGCCACTAGTTGAAAAGGCAAGTGGGGTGAAGGGTGGGATTTATGATAGGAGAGTAACGCATGTTTGTATTGTGAAGGGAAGGCGTCAAAGGAGAGTGAGAGGTTAAAGAGAAGAGTAAGGAAGGAGATGAAAGTGGGCATGAGGCAGATCAGGGGATGGAGTCACTGGGGCAAGTGAAGGGGTTAGAGGAAGATAGCAAATCAGAAATTTCTGCATCTCTGACCAGGGAGAAGGAGGAGGGAGTTGTAGGAAGGAAGGAAGGGAAGGCTATGTTGTATT